AATGAGTTCAAGGTCAGCCTGAACTACATAGTAAGACTGTCTCAAAAGGGAAAAAAATGACCCACAGAGTGGGAAAAAAATTTTACCAGCTATTCCAATAAAGAATTATTATCTAGAATATATAAAGAACTCAAACAAATCAGACCCCAGTGCAAAAATGAGCATCTAAAATAAAGAGACACTTCTCAGATGAAGAATAAGAAATGGCATATAAACTAAATGAAAAAATGTTCAATATCACTGGTCATTCATGAAATACAAATTAAAACACTGAGATTGTACCTGTCTCCAAGAAAGAATGGGTATTATCAAGAAATCAACCAATAACAAATGCTGGTGGGGCTGTGGGGGAAAAGGAACCCTTCTCTGCTGCTGGTGGGAGTGCAGACTGGTGCAACCACTGTGGAAATCAGTGTGGAGAGTTCTCAAAAAGCTAAGACTAGAGGTTCTGTTTGACCTGTCTATCCCTCTTCTTGGTATCTTCCCAAAAGAATTAAAAGCACTGCTCAGTGGCACTATGCCTGCCTCAAAGGTACGAACGAGGTCCTGAGTTTGATCTCTTATATTGGAAAAAAACAAAAACATTGAAAGAATCATACCACAGTGATATATGCACACCCATGTTTATAGCAGCACAGTTTGTAATAGCTAAAACTTGGAAACAGTCCACATGCCCATCAACTGGTGAGTGGATGAAGATGTGTTTTCTTAAATACAATGGAGTACTACTCCGCCATAAAGAAGGATGAGCTTCAGGCATTTATAGCTAAACAGATGGACCTTGAGACCATACTCTTAAGTGAAATAAATTGGACACTCATGTTGAAATGCCGCATTATTTCTCTGGTGTGAGAAACTGGAAGTGGAAATAAGGACTGCGATGTATAATGGATGGTGGGAAATGGGGAGAAAGTGTTCACATGGGAAGGGGAACAGGGGAGGGAGGGGGAAAGGAAGGAAGGGACAGGAAAAAAGTGAAATAGGAAAAACGGAAGCAAAGCTTTTGTACATAAGAAGGAAAGGAAAGGAGAGGGATAAAAATAAAATAAAAAATTTTTTTGAAAAATGTCTTAGAGAAGTAGTTTGGTGTAAATATCCTGGATTTAATTCCCAGTACAGTAAGTCCCCGACTTAGAGGCGTTCCAGATGTGACCTTTCACGGACCTCACAATTACAAGCATTCCTAGGTTCCAGAGAATCTCGGGGAAGTTCTCTCCTGTGCCTGCGGACAGTGTCACAGCTGTGCTGCTGTGTGCTCACTGCACAGTGCGACAGTGCACAGCAGGGCAGTGCTCAGTCAGCGCCTGGGTGTCCGGAAGTGAGAGGAAAAGCAGAGGTGATGTGGAGGGGACGGCTAGGACGCGCAAAGAAATACACGTTGTACATTTGTGTCGAAGGTGTATAAGACTCCCTCTGTCAGACCTACAAATGAATCCAACGTATGCATGTTCTCCAAGAAGAGAACTCATTTATAGACTGGGGACATACTCTATGGGAAAAAAGAAAAACACAAAACAAAATAAACACTAACATCAGGCACTAGAAATATAAAATAAGCCCCTCTTTTTACTAAATTTGTTTTGACAAATACAATCATTCATCTTTTAAAATATATTAACAAGAGCTGGGGATTTAGCTCAGGGGTACCAAAAAAGTATTGGTGTCAGGGGCACATGCCTGTAGTCTGAGCTACGTGGAAGGTGGAGGCAGGAGGATCACACGTTCAAGCCCAGGTTGGACCACCTAGAAAGACCTCATCTCAGAAGAAAAAAAGTAAACGTTTAATGGGTTATTTTATCTACTTGTTTTTGGTGGTAGGGATCAAACTCAGAATTTCACACATGCTAAGCATGTGCTCTACCACTGAACTAGACTTTCAGTCTTGTTTTAATGTTATTATTTTGAGATTTTTTGACACAGGAACTTTCCACATATCCCAGGTTGGCTTCAAACCCACAATCCTGCCTCAGCCTCCAATATGCTGGGACCACCACACTGGGCCCTTGGTTTTTAAATTTTTAGTGAATATGACTTAAATGTCTCCATGTCAGCCGGGCATGGTGGCACATACCTGTAATCCCAGCACTCGGGAGGCTGAGGCAGGAGGATCACTGTGAGTTCGAGACCAGCCTGGGCTACATAGTGAGTTCCAGGTCAGTCTCGACTACATAGTGAGACCCTGTCTCAAAAAAAAAAAAAAAAAGTCTCCATGTCTAGTTCTAATACAGTAAATATGGGTAGCTATGTCCCACACAGTCAAAAGCTCTTGAGGTCCTTGACAGTTTTTGTAAAAGGGCCCTGAGACCCCATCACCTCCTAAACCCTCACCGGCCAGCAGCCATACTCCTGGAGCCCCTCTGCTTCCCCCATGGGCTTTGGATCCTGCCTCGTACCTGCCTGCCATAGTTCCTGCTCCCAACTGCCTCCCAATCAGGCCCAGAAACTCTCATCTTACCTTCTCTACCAGGTCTGCTAGTAGTTGACGAGCCTCTGTTTCAGAAGGGGCTGCTCACACCTGCAGGGAAGGGATGTACAGCATCGAGCCAAGCCCTTCCGGCTGCTGATAGCCATGAGGTCTTTGTGCAGTGCATTTCCAGATAGCTGCATGCATGGTGCTGCACCCCCCTTCCACACCTCAGCCTGTGCACTCTTTCTCTGTGCCCTTCATGCACGTGCATTCCCTGAGTCCTGTGAGCCACTGGAGCACACTAAGCCTGTGGAGGGCACCGTGGCAGGCATCTCTGTGTATAGCCCGTGGGTCCGAAGGACAGGGAAAGCAAGCTGGGGCTCACAGCTGGTGCTGAAGGGATGTTGTTGGGGCTGAGCCCGTACCTGTGGATCTGATGCTATCTGTGGTCAGTGTCTGAGCTGAATGGGGCTGAAGGATGCTGCCCCAGAGCTGCTCCTGGTGGGTTTGAGGAAACCCACTCGCTTGGGCTCTGAAGTGGTCTGTGTCTGAAGTGTAACAGGAGAAACATCCTGAGCTCAGCTGCTTCTCCTTCTGGATCTTCAGATCCTTGCCCTGCTCTGCCAGCCACTCTCCAGACCCTGTCACTTCCTCCTTATACTGCTGTCAGCCCATCCACCTGCCCCTGCCCCTCCATGCCTGTAGGCCTCTCTTGTCCTTTTCCTTGCAGCTGGACACAGCACCGCTGTTCCCCCATCCGAGGCCCCCACTGGTCCAAGAAATCCTAGGCTGGCCAGGCCTGGTCCTGCCACCTGTCTGGCCCCATGCCCACTCCCAACGCAGGTGTGCCAGGCTGTGCCAGACTTCCTGCTCCAGGAGGCCCCTCCTTGGGGCCTTTCCCCAGAAGTCTGCCTTCCCAATCACCAGCTCAGGGCCTTTCCCCATGCTCCCATTCTATCACGCTCCTTAAGGAGAAGAGTTCCTCCCTTCTATGTTCCCAGTGCCCAGAACGGTGCCCAATCCAATGTGCAGCTGACTAGCAGCCCGCCCCACCCCATTAGACCTCCAGTCTAGAGCAGGGCTCAGTGTGCACAGGAGGCCTGGGGGTGGCTGTCCAGGGCTCCCTGCCACCTGCTGCCATTTCTTCCTGCTGTGTTGCTCTGACTAGGTTCCCAGAAGAGCCTGGCTGGACTCCACACTTTTCCCATCCATGGCCAAGGCACGAGGCTGCCGAGACACAGCTCAGCATGGCAGCCTCCCCGGGCACAATGCCTGCCCAGCCTGGTTGGAGCTGACCCTGCTGGGGACACCTAGACCGATCCAGGTCACATGAGCAGCAGCACCCATCATGCTGTGGGGAATGGGTCCACACAGGCTGACCCGACACCCAGGCGGCTGAGCAGAGGGAAGGGCCTGTCAGGACTGACTCCTTTGCTGCGGATGTCTGTCGTCTCAGCCCATGTCCATCCTGCCAGCCCAAAGCACCTTTCATTGAGTGTTCAGGAGCACTGGGCCAGGACATGAGGAGAGAAGTCCAGGGACAGGCAGGGGAAACAAGCAGCAGGCCAGAGGCCACCCTGCCAACTCAACACACTGTAGTGAGTCCTGACAGATGGGACAGATAGCACTATAGCCCCCACAGTAAAAGGGACATCAGGGTTTCCAGATCACAGGACCCTGCTGTCATCACTACCCCCAGAAGTTATCACTGTAACCTAACACATATTTTTTCTTTTTTTTTTTTGAGACAGGGTCTTGCTATGTAGTTGAGGTTGGCCTCAAACTTGCAGTGATCCTCCTGCCTCAGGCTCCCAAGTGCTGGGATTATAGGCATGTGCTATTGTGCCCTGCTTATACATGTTCCTTTAACAGGAAGCCAGGCATCTGGCCTCCCTGTCGGAAAGAGGCCACAGCTGGCCATGCAGCTGGAGAAAAACCTGGTCTCAGCCTCCTTAGCTTACCAGCCTCCAGTCAGTTGTGGAGGCTGACACAGGATCCCAGGCCACGTCCCAGATCAGACAAGGACACTGCTCACAGGGCTGCCAAGTTCAGCTACAAAGGCTAAATTCTTCACAAGTCAGGGGCATTATTTGCATGTGCTAGGATCTAGATCAGTGATGGCAAACCTTTTAGAGACCAACACCCCAAACTGCAACCCAAAACCCACTTATTTATTGCAAAGTGCCAACACTGCAATTAAGTCTGACTGCTTGGGTGATGCAGGTGCAAGTGATCTGGCTTGTGTGCTGACAGAGAGGACTCTGCACACAGGGGCAGGGGTGCCATAGTTCTGCCACTACTGCTCTAGATTATGCCCTCAGGAGTGGTGGAACCTGGTCCTGCCTGCTTTCTCCGAGAGAAAGGGAAGGGAGCAAACAGAGCCCTTTCCTTCTTAGGGGCCTCAGGGCCAGGGATTTAGCTCAGTGGCACTGTGCCTGCCTTGCAAGCAGAAGGTCCTGAGTTTGATCCCTGGTACAAAAAAAAAAAAAAAAAAAAAGGGTCTAAAAAAAAAAAAAAAAAAAAAAAAAGTGTCTTCTTAGGAGCCTTTTGGGGCTCGCTTCTTGCTGATGCCAAGCCCTATGTACAAAAAGAATCACACTGCAGCGCAGCACAGATAATAAGAGACCAATTTATGGGTAAATGTATGGAACAGATGGGGAAAGGGCCAGGACCTATAGTGATGAGCTTCCCAGGAACAGAACAAGAGATACACAGGAGTGGCCCAGACAAGCAGATGGGCAGAGTAATGGGGAGAGAAAACCACAAAGGTAAAAAGCCCAGGCCTGTCTCTCAGCGTGACCAGGCATCAGATCCAGCTCTGCCCTGGGCTCCCAGTGGATGTGCAGGCCTCAGCCCTTGCTGGCCCTTCTCCATGCTCCTGCCCTTCATACAGCGGGATGGGCACTTGGGCAGGAGAGTTCTTCCAGGGCTGAGGAATTGCCCATCTCAGTGGACAGAGGGTGAAAGTGCATGGGGACTCCCTGGGGAGCTGGAGGACTGGGTGACGTGGGGTTAGCAGCAACACTGGGGGGATCTGGTGAGGCACCAGGGGTCTGGACTAGGCCACCGCACAGCAGGGCCCGTGTCCAGGGCAGGCCCCCCACCCTGCCCACCACACCAACATGGTGCAATAAATTACGTTTCAAGTAGGAAGTCAGCGTCACACAGGACAGGTGCAGGCTGGCAGGCAGGCGGACTTAGGGAGAGGTGTCCCAGCTGCCTGCTATGTCCTCTCAGGGGCTCCCGCTGTACCACATCTGACTCAGGCACTGAGCTGGGTATCTGTCCTAAGGTCTGCATGTGCAATCCCTGCAGACGCTGTGCCCCTCAGACCAGTGCCAGAGCCTGCTCGATGGGGCAGAAACAGGGCAGCATGGAGCCCACCGCGTCCACAATGGCTTCCAGATGCTCATCCTGTGCCTGAGGTCCACAGAGCTGCATGAAGTCAGCAAGTCGCAGCAAGTACTCGAGGTTGTGGCCAGAGAAACCCCGGCAGGCCAGGATCTGGGTAGCAATGGCCTCCTCCGGAGCAGGGCCCAGGTAGCCAGGGTTCTGTGGGGTGGCTACATAGGCCAGTGCCTTGAGGGGCTGCTCCGGTGTATCCTGAGGGTAGAAGGTCACCTCCTTGGTGTCATAGCTGCCAAGCACTGCCTCCCGCACGTTCAGATACTTCAGGGCCTCGTTTACCTGCTCTCCTCGAACCTGGTATGCCACACCCCAAGTGCAGCCCTAGAGAAGGAACAGGGACACCTGTGGTCAGTGACAGAATGCTACCCTTCCCCTGGGCTGTGTGGATAAGGGAGGTGGGTGATGATCTGATGAGCTATCCTCTAGCAATTCACTCAGCTTTTTCTTTTTTTTGAGACAGGGTCTCACTATGTAGCTCACAGTGGCCTCGAATTCACTATGTAGTCCAAGGTGGCCTGGAACTTGTAACAATCCTCCCGCCTCAGCCTCCTGAGTGCTGGGATAAGAAGCGTGCACTGCCACACCTGACTTATTTCTTCTTTCTTAAGGGTTGACAAGGTGATCAGAAGAACACCCTAGGGAGAACAGAATTTCTGCTCATAGTGAGGTGCAGGAACTAGTGACGTCACCTGGAAGCTTGTTAGAAACACTGCATCCTGAGTCCCACTCTAACCCTATTCTACTAAACCTGTGCTTTAACCAGCTCCCCAGGCGAGTCTCTGACAAGAACTTCAGGAGACCCCACTTCCCCTTGGCCAGGCAGGCACAATACACAGCCTGAGCCACAAGCCCCAACATCTGCCTGTCCACACTCCTCCATGCTGGGTGCTATGTCCCCTTCTGGACCCGCGTACTTGCCTCACGATCTTCAAGGAGAGTCACCACACGGCCAGGCTAAGGAGAGGAGAAAGATTTCGGAAGAAAAAAGAAATCAGCCCAGTCGACAGTGCAAGGACACCCTTAAAACCCGGGCGCCCAGGCCTTGGGGGCCCCACGGTCCAGGGCATCTACTGGGCGTGATGCAGGGATGCAGGGGGGATGGGAAGACAGACACAGGGCAGGACCCGGTCTGATCATCCCAGGCGCCCGCGGGGTGGGACTCGAGGCATCGCACAGCTATGCCCTGAGCACCCCCGTTTACCCTGCAAGCCGGGACGCAGGTGGACACATTTACCCGGCAGCCCGGAGCGCCCAGGCCAAGCTCCCCACCGCCTGGCTCCGCGGCACGGTCGGATGCTCACCATCTTGTCGCTGCCCCGATGGAAGGTGTCACCCTGCCAGAAACGCCGGCTGTAGCCGCGCACGAAGCCCACGCGGCTGTCACTGTAGGCGAAGTCGGGCCTCCACACCAGGGAGCCGTATCCGAAAATCCACAGGGCTTGGGGGTCGCCGTTCTCCCCGGGCGGCTGCACTGTTGATGCAG